TGCACGCATCGTCCATATTCAGCACATACCAACACCAATCCCGCTTTGCCTGGATATTTCATTTCACGAATTCTCCGGAATCCGAAAAATTCTATAAAAAATCGCACCCTGTCGCACTCTTTCTTACAAATTTTCATGCACACGCAAGCGCATATACGCGCAGTAGGCTGCGTCATCGGCTCACAACCGAGGATTCTGGGGATCAATCCTAACGGTAGGACAGAAACATTTGGGCAGCGTTCCTTTTCACCAGATGCCTCGGTTTACCTAGCAATAAATAGGTACCTGAGGTATTCACTGCTGTTGTGGGTTGAATCATGTTAATTGTCAGTTTTTTGGCCTTATATATCTCAGGAAATATGTCGGGAGTGAATGTAATAGACAAGCGAACATGCAATACAAAATTAGAGATTAAACATCATGATTCACGTAGAATCATGAGGTTGAAAAGAGTTTGGGGGAGTAACATCACACCAACGTAAGAACTACCTATCTAAACAAGGACTCATTAACACTGTCATAAAAAAACAAATGTCAGACGGCCTCATATTCCTGGGGCCAGGAGTTCAACACGCATTTCCGTGTCAACTTACGAACGTGTACATCTTTTCTCAATCATTGGCGGCTTTGTTTGCATTTATTAAACAGTTTACGAGCTTCGAAATTTTCAAGTCAAACGTTATTATTGTTATAAACAACCTCCTGGTGCTTCGAAACTTATGAATTGTGAAATAAATGTAAACAAAGCCGGTGAAGATTGAGGATAGATGTAGAGGTTCATCAATAGATGCGTAACTGCTTGATGACTCCTAGAAATATGCGGTGCCCGTATGAAGATCTTATATTTCAATACAAAACAAAAAGGAAGATAGACCAGAGGTATGGTGCATGACTATCCATAGAAATAATGTATTCCAAATTGCTTAATGTTTAAAGAAATCGATGAGATTATGCAGGCGATAAGTCCCAAGAACGTGGCTGAAGTATGTTGACCAATCCACACATTATTGTGGTTATACCTCTCGTATCTGATTTGTAAATGTTAGTCCTGGAGCCCTCAACTTTCCAGGGAGAAGAGTTAAATTAGTTCTGGAATGATTTTATGTCTTTCTGCGTTCACGTTTACCCTAAGTAGTTATATTCCTTTGAAGGGAAGGTCTCCATACTTTGAAACAGTAGTCCAGACAGCAATGGCATCCCGGTAGTTAGAGACGGCAGGGAAAACAGACAAAAGTTTTGCTCCTGGCGAAGATGGAGTCAGGTACGACACACTCAAGGCGCTAAGTGAAGTGTCTTTGATAATCATATTAAAGACAAGTAGTGATTTCAAGTACATTATTGCCGACATTGTTCAAACGTCATCAGTTGTGAGACGCGAGTAAACCTTTATTCATTCGCCGGCGATGAGTCACAATAACGTGGCTAAAGTATGTTGACCAGACCACACACTAGAAGGTGAAGGGACGACGACGTTTCGGTTCGTCCTGACCGTCGTCGTCGTCCCTTCACCTTCTAGTGTGTGGTCTGGTCAACTTTATTCATTCATAAACAAGGGGTTTGGTGGCTGGGCTAATGAGCATTTGGTTTTTGTTGATGAGTACTGACGGCACTTAGAGAGGAGCGATTCGAACACAGGAAGACAGCGAAACACTCACCGTTCAAGAAAAGTTCGAATGCAATCAGTTGCGAGTCATGTGTAAAGTGGTTTTCATTCCTAAACAGGGTGGGGGGGGGGGGGTGACTGGATTAACAACCATTTAGTAATTGTTCATGAGGCCAGTCTGGGAGTTGTGAGAGGGTGTGGAGTTACATCAAGACCGTAGCTCTACCGTCCAGCCCAAGTAGGGGGAGGGGGATTATCAGGAGAAAGCGCCAAGCCACTACGACTTTGTAGCACTGGGAAGGGATCAGGATAAGGATTGGGGATGGGACGGAGGGAAAGGAATGATACCCCAACCACTTGGACGGTCGGGGATTGAACGCCGACATGCATGAAGCGAGAATCGGTAAAGCTTTCACTGGAGAGCCCAAGTTAACGTGACTCTGGGATGTGGTTTCAACAGGTGGTAGCGGGAATCAATATCAATAATATTAGAGGAATCGCAAATAAAGTTCAAATGGCTGCCGGAGTGTGCCCTGAGACTGTGAGAAATTTATGTTCATTATTGATTAATTTGCTCTCAATTATGTTAGAGTTTTTTTTCCTAATAGCATGATTTAAGAGTAATTTAAAGTTTGTGAAATATCCAAGTTTCTCTTAAATGTGTTCGGCTGAATTGATTGTTTTAGGGTCATATTAACTCACTAACCTTATTCATAAATGATTTAATGTTTATAATTGATTTCCTTTTAAATAAATTAAGTTCATTATTCATTTATACATGGAAAAAGGAATCATAGCGTAACACGCCATTATATAATTATATATTATATGATAGCTTATCTTGAGGTTATCATTCAATTGACTTCCACTTATTTGGGGGATATGAAAGAATCGTTTAGTGCTCACCTAGCTGTACTTGCGGAGGTTGAGCTTCGACTCTTTGGCCCCGCCTCTCAACTGTCAATCAACCGGTGTGGTTGCATCCTGGGGAGAGCCAGTAGTTCGATCTTTGGGGGGCAGGAAAGGGGGATCTCGACACAAGCTTAAAGTGTATAAATAGGTGTCCTGTCCCTTACGAAATGAATTATTTATAATATATTACTGACGGGATACTAAGTAAAGAGGTGGGTAAGAGCCTAAGTCACTATTCTTAGTATCTGCACTAAGACTTGAGTTCAGAACCTTGCACTCACTTCTGCAAGGTTCTGAACCCCGATGAGGTTACCCCCCAGGGTAGTTTTTGTCGTGGGTAGAGAGGGAGGTAAAATCTGTACTCTTACGCCTTGTTCTCCTGATAACTTGGCCATGACTCCTGTGTCGCCATGAGGCTGAACGAGGCGACGGGGGGAAAGGGAGGGCGACGACCCCAGTGGCGGGGGTAATGACCCTGATTAAGAAAGTTATACTCTGTCTTGGCCGGTCACAACACCTCCCGTGTCTTTACCTGCGACACACTGGGCCTCGTTCGTGCCTATTCGTGCGCTTTATCTTTCAGTTTCAGATTTTATAAAAATGCATTTGAAATATTGCCGATTAAAGATGTCGTTCTAATTATGGTTCTCTGGGTCTCAAGCTGAGAAATGCGATGTTAAAATTAAACATTTTTACAGCATTCACCATTTTCTTGACGCAAACGTGAGATATTAATGGGAAAATCAATTGGAACAATGATAGGATTCGAACCTTCGTATTTGGGTACTCCCATACCGCGCCCTGACCTCCATGCCATGCCATATCTGAAGCAAGACATGGCATAAGTTATACAACCTTGGATTCCACTGAATTCAGTGAAATTCCACGTTGCATAACTTATACCATGTTATGGTCTAGAGGTAAAGTGCGCGGCCTGAGAGTACACAGATCGACGGGTTCGAATCCCGTCATTGCTCAAACTAATTTTCTCATTCAGTATTTTCTCATTCAATACAAATGTTATCATCTTAGGAAGCGACAAATAGTCCTCGCATGATGAATCGGGGCCCAGAGTAGTGTTCTTATGTCTCATCATTACGTAGTTAGGAACCATCATAGTATTGTGCTACTGAGTGTGTCGTTGCAACTCTGAACGAGTCCATTGATGCCGAAGAACCTAAATGAACCTTTTGATGCCGAAAAGCCTGAAAAGGACTATTAATGCTGGAAAGACTGAAAAGGACCATTAATGCTGGAAAGATTGAACTTATCTATTAATACCTAAGAACCTGAATAAGCCTTTGAATACTAAAGAGTTTGAACAAGTCAATTAATTCTGAAGAGCCAAAACGGCTTTGTCGATTTGTAAGAAAATTTAACCATAGCTAAATTTCATAGTTAAATAATTATATTTAAGACTCATCGTCTGCTTATTAGAATAATTAGATTGATAACTTTAATTCGAACTCAATTCCCTGACATTTATTTAATTGAAATCAGAAGTAAAGTACCTTTTTATGATCAGCTTCGGGCCAGGTTTACTGGGAGGACCCATCCAAATTACGACGACTGTATGATATTCATTAAATATATATTTATGCATTTTTAATTCTCAAGTTAACGCAGCAAGGCAGCTGTAATGCTCGCGTGCCGGAAATTGATTTTGAAATTTTAATCGAAAAACGTGTTTGGCGAGTTGGTAAAATTAGCAGGGCGGGTTTAGTTTTTAATTTTGTTTTGTGTGGCTGTGTGTCTATGATTGTGTGTCTATGACTGTGAGTCTATGACTGTGAGTCTATGACTGTGAGTCCATGACTGTGGGTCTGTGTGCATTAATTCGTGACTGTAAATCTGTGACTATGAGTATGTGTCTATTAGTTTATGCCTTTGAGTCTGTGACTGTGTGTGACTGAGACTATAAATCTGGGACTGTAAAATATTATTTTTAATATTTATCAAAGGCTATTTCACAGTGGCTATTTCACAGTGGCTATTTCTCCCTGGCTATTTCTCACTGGTGATTTCTCATCAGCTTTTTCAGGGGGTAATTTCTCATTGGCTATTTTACAGTGGCTATTTCAGTGAGATTATATCACACTCTTTATTTCACAGTGGTTGTTTCTAATAGTTAATTTCACAGTGGCTACCTCACAGTAGCTATTTCAGTTTTATTTCACAGTGGCTATTCTACAATTTCAGTGACTATTTCGCAATGGCTATTTCTCAGTGGCTATTTCGACAAATTGTCTGATTATGGCTGGACCATTCCCGAGATGAACATCAGACCAGGCAGCTAGCTGGATTAGCGGTCAGAGGTGTGAGGGAGGGAGTGCGGCCGGGTGCACGTGGCAGGGAGAAGGCCATTGTTTCCCAGGCCAGAGGAGGAGGAGGGTGCGCCCTCTCGTGGGAGGACTTCATAAGATTTATTTACATGTTGATCTGGAGAGTGGCTCGTCTTGCCTCGTGGCGGGTGAGTGATGCCACTATGCACCGGAATGCTTTTCCAAATGCTCCAGACAGCTTTTCAAAGATAAATAATGCTCCAGACTGCTCTTCCAAGGATAATAATGCTCCAGACTGTTCTTCCAAGGATAATAATGCTCCAGACTGCTCTTCCAAGGATAATAATGCTCCAGACTGTTCTTCCAAGGTAAATAATACTCCAGACTGTTCTCCCAAGGATAATAATGCTCCAGACTGTTCTTCCAAGGATAATAAGGCTCCAGACTGCTCTTCCAAGGATAATAATGCTCCAGACTGCTCTTCCAAGGATAATAATGCTCCAGACTGTTCTTCCAAGGATAATAATGCTCCAGACTGCTCTTCCAAGGATAATAATGCTCCAGACTGCTCTTCCAAGGATAATAATGCTCCAGACTGTTCTTCCAAGGTAAATAATACTCCAGACTGTTCTCCCAAGGATAATAATGCTCCAGACTGTTCTTCCAAGGATAATAATGCTCCAGACTGCTCTTCCAAGGATAATAATGCTCCAGACTGCTCTTCCAAGGATAATAATGCTCCAGACTGTTCTTCCAAGGTAAATAATACTCCAGACTGTTCTCCCAAGGATAATAATGCTCCTGACTATTCTTCCAAGGTTAATAATGCTCCAGACTGCTCTTCCAAGGTTAATAATGCTCCAGACTGCTCTTCCAATTTAAACAACGCTCCAGACGGCTTTTCCAAGATTTATTATGACCAAGACTGGACTTTCACGATAAACAAATTTTCCAGATGGATTTCCCATGATTGTTACTGCACCAGACTGATCTCACAAGGTTAGTAATGCTCTACACTGATCTTCCGTTACTAAGACTGTTCCACTGTGACTTTTCAAAAGAAAGTATTTACGTATGTAGGTTAGCTTAGCACTTTAAAAGCACCGAATCACCTTCTGTGGTTGTGTTCAATAAACCCTTGAACTATATGTTTAACACTTCTCTAACCCTGTCCATGGAGGACAGAAGAAAATGTTTATATGCTGGTTAGCATTGTAAATGTGTGGCCACGTCTGTGGTAGAAAAAAAATGCACCAGACTGACCTTCCCAGGAAGTGGACGAGACATAATAACTTTCCAAGTTTGAGAATGCTCTAAGAATGCTCCACACGGATCATCCAGGGTCGAGATATGCTCCAAGCACTAGTTATGCAATATATGTGATGTAACTGTAAAGTGAGCTTGTAAAAGCATTTTAATCACCTTCAGTGGCTTCTAGTTTCTATTTGCAGATATCATACCTTGTCAAAATTGGAGAGAGAAATGTATATATATATATATATATATATATATATATATATATATATATATATATATATATATATATATATATATATATGCAAGTAAATATGTGTAAGCTGGTCAAAATTGCATTGTACCTTTGAGATCTCACATTAATCACATTATGTGTAAAAGAATATGCATCGAACACCATTTATGTAGGACCGACCAATATATTTATGCATGTTGGTTAGTATCACAAAATGCACTGCAATCACTTTCTGTGATTGATGGCTCAATACATAATTAAACTATGTGACGTCTAACAGATCTCTGACCCTGTCCATGGCGGACAGAAGAAAATATATATATTATAAATAGGACTGTAAATGTAGACTGTAAAATGACTGTAAACGTCTGTGGTAGAAATTAATAATACAAAAACTCAGACGCAAACGACAACAGAAACTCCCAGCGTTAACAGACAATCCGAGCCACACAAACGAAGGGACGGTAACTATCAGGAGTCGTCATATCAGGAGTCGACTATCATATATAGTCGTAATGGCCAAGCCATTACGACTATATGGCACTTGGAAGGGGTCAGGATAAGGATTTGGGATGGGACGATGGAGGAAGGAATGGTGCCCAACCACTTGGACAGTCGGGGATTGAACACCGACCTGCATGAAGCGAGACCGTCGCTCTACCGTCCGCTCTATGTAGTCTAGCCGCTACAAGAGGGGGAAGAAAAAATAATCAACAGACACCCCCAGACATAACCAAGCAATCCCAACGGTAAGCAACAAGCAAGCAACCACATCCTCAGTAACTTCACCTCTTACATACAACACAAACCACAACTGGTATGATATCCTTAATAAACTAATTTAACATAACTAACAAGCATTGAACAAAAAACTCCAACTTATATACAAACTCTCCTGCCACTCAGATAACCCGAGGCCATTCTCTCCTCTACCGTTAACTCCCGAGCCGTGAACAATGGCCCAACAGCCTCTTCCCTTCCTCCAAACTCAGAAATACATCCAATGAATTGCAGAAGTCAACATGACCAGGAATTAGTAGGCTGCGCCCGCCAGCGGTGCCCGCCCCCGGGGCTTCGAACCCCCACCCAACACCCGTACCACTCGGTAGAGGAAAAAATATCGTTTTCAAAATCCTTCATGTTTAGCAAGGTCTGATTATATCATGGCCTCTCAGGCGGGTGCTATCGTCCTTAATACAGTGGTACATCAGTACTCGTTGATCTGTATGTAAGGCAGAGACTGAATTACAGTTCGGATAATAAGGGGCTAGACAGACCGCACAGATTAGAGAGAGGCTAAGAATGTTTAAGAATAGAATGTAAGAATCTGAGAAGCGACTAAGAGACAAAGGAATACTCCGATGAGTTTCGCTCGCTGCCGCTACGTTCAGTCAGAAATTGATGAGAAGAATTCCGAACGAATTTTCTCTGAATACTAAAGGATGACACTGAGATCGGCTCCAGGAACAGCGCAAGACCCACACAGAAATTTTTATTTATTTATCTCGGCATGTGAATGACGGCCTATTGCTTATGAGTTCTCATTAAGTGCTTGGAACTAAACAAAAAATAGGCCTTTGGAAAAAAATAGATGTTAATTTTTTTTTTAGTTAGTCTAATTATTATTTCTGCCTTCTGAAAATCAAACAAAAAATGCGTCTCTGGAAATGAAACAAAAATTAAATAATTTTCTTTTCGTTTTGGTTTAATTATAATTTATTATCGGTTTAATTATAATTTATAATCGGTTTAATTATAATTTATTATCGGTTTAATTATAATTTATTATCGGTTTAATTATAATTTATTATCATTAACATATTAAAGTTATAGAATAGTTTAAGGTATAACATGGGTGGAATAACGGCTCAAGAACTTTGTCAGTGTGCAAGAGAGGAGAAGAGATAAGATTTTAGAAGTCCAACACACACATCTCTCCATCATTTAGCGATGACTCAACGAACTGAACATGATAAAGAAGAGGAAAATGACCAAGATGAAGGAAATTAATGATCCCAAGGAACTGAAAAAATATATAAATATATATTCAACACGATTCAATGGTGTTGCATCAAACCGTTTCCTCAACTAGTTGCTCTCATATTATAAGTAATGATCCTTAAAAGTACAAATTTCAAAGTACTCTGAAAAGTTGCGGTTCACATATTCACATTTCCTGTGCATCGCTAGGTTAGCCTAGGAGGGTTCTAGGGTTCCTAGCTAGGTTAGCACTTCGTATTTTGTACGTTGTGGCAAATCAACAGAGCGAACTGATTGAAGAGCAATACTAGAGTGTTATCCATGTAACGTCAAGTGTTTTTAAAGCTCGATCGTACTTTGTCACCAGAAAAAGGGTTCACTGAGATTTAAAAAATCTGTATTTTCAAAATCACCAAAAAAAATGGTTCAATGAGATTTAAAAAAATCTGTATTTTCAATTTGAATCACCATATGTCAAGTCCAGCAACATCGCCTGGACGGTATAGCGACGACTTTGATTCTTGCAAGTCCATGTTCGATCCCCGACAATTTAACTGGCTACAAACCGTTCCTTCAATCCATTCTCAAATCCAGGCTTCCCAGTCCTCGCAACCCTACGATATGCGACATAAGTTATATTAACATAGAGCTTGCTTCAGCTTCATAATACCTTTGTCGTCAAGCAATGATCAAGTGATTACCATATCTAAGAGAGGAACACTGAGCTATGGGGGGGAGGGGGGGGGGAGGGGGTCATCTAGAAGTAATTGTTCCTCTCAACTTAGTGATTCTGTTTGTAGTTGTTATCGCCTTGTTCATCAAAGGCAGTAGTCAGCAGGCTGTAGCGACAAGGCAGTAGTCAGCAGGCTGTAGCAACAAGGCAGTAGTCAGCAGGCTGTAGCAACAAGGCAGTAGTCAGCAGGCTGTAGCAACAAGGCAGTAGTCAGCAGGCTGTAGCGACAAGGCAGTAGTCAGCAGGCTGTAGCAACAAGGCAGTAGTCAGCAGGCTGTAGCAACAAGGCAGTAGTCAGCAGGCTGTAGCAACAAGGCAGTAGTCAGCAGGCTGTAGCAACAAGGCAGTAGTCAGCAGGCTGTAGCGACAAGGCAGTAGTCAGCAGGCTGTAGCAACAAGGCAGTAGTCAGCAGGCTGTAGCAACAAGGCAGTAGTCAGCAGGCTGTAGCAACAAGGCAGTAGTCAGCAGGCTGTAGCAACAAGGCAGTAGTCAGCAGGCTGTAGCAACAAGGCAGTAGTCAGCAGGCTGTAGCAACAAGGCAGTAGTCAGCAGGATGTAGCAACAAGGCAGTAGTCAGCAGGCTGTAGCGACAAGGCAGTAGTCAGCAGGCTGTAGCGACAAGGCAGTAGTCAGCAGGCTGTAGCAACAAGGCAGTAGTCAGCAGGCTGTAGCGACAAGGCAGTAGTCAGCAGGCTGTAGCGACAAGGCAGTAGTCAGCAGGCTGTAGCAACAAGGCAGTAGTCAGCAGGCTGTAGCGACAAGGCAGTAGTCAGCAGGCTGTAGCAACAAGGCAGTAGTCAGCAGGCTGTAGCGACAAGGCAGTAGTCAGCAGGCTGTAGCGACAAGGCAGTAGTCAGCAGGCTGTAGCGACAAGGCAGTAGTCAGCAGGCTGTAGCGACAAGGCAGTAGTCAGCAGGTTGTAGCGACAAGGCAGTAGTCAGCAGGCTGTAGCGACAAGGCAGTAGTCAGCAGGCTGTAGCGACAAGGCAGTAGTCAGCAGGTTGTAGCGACAAGGCAGTAGTCAGCAGGCTGTAGCGACAAGGCAGTAGTCAGCAGGCTGTAGCGACAAGGCAGTAGTCAGCAGGCTGTAGCAACAAGGCAGTAGTCAGCAGGCTGTAGCGACAAGGCAGTAGTCAGCAGGCTGTAGCGACAAGGCAGTAGTCAGCAGGTTGTAGCGACAAGGCAGTAGTCAGCAGGCTGTAGCGACAAGGCAGTAGTCAGCAGGCTGTAGCGACAAGGCAGTAGTCAGCAGGCTGTAGCGACAAGGCAGTAGTCAGCAGGCCATAGCGACAAGGCAGTAGTCAGCAGGCTGTAGCGACAAGGCAGTAGTCAGCAGGCTGTAGCGACAAGGCAGTAGTCAGCAGGCTGTAGCGACAAGGCAGTAGTCAGCAGGCTGTAGCGACAAGGCAGTAGTCAGCAGGCTGTAGCGACAAGGCAGTAGTCAGCAGGCTGTAGCGACAAGGCAGTAGTCAGCAGGCTGTAGCGACAAGGCAGTAGTCAGCAGGCTGTAGCGACAAGGCAGTAGTCAGCAGGCTGTAGCGACAAGGCAGTAGTCAGCAGGCTGTAGCGACAAGGCAGTAGTCAGCAGGCTGTAGCGACAAGGCAGTAGTCAGCAGGCTGTAGCGACAAGGCAGTAGTCAGCAGG